AAGCGGGACTGACCTAGGGTGAATTTTAAATAGGGAAAATTTTTAAACATTTTAATAATGACACAGCCATTAATATATTTGGTTTTAATTGGTTTTATAGGGGAAATGTTTTTTGTGTTGTTTTTTAACATGCTGTGAGCCGCCCTGAGTCCCGTGGGGAGAAGGGCGGCATAGAAGTTAGTGAAAATAAATAAATAAATAAATAAATCATGACAATGCTCTTTTCTTTCTGTTTTTTTTCCCAATGAACAGATTTGAATATAAGTTGTAGATATGCAGGTGTTTTCCATGTAGAGAAGAATCAACGCTACAGCCTTACGAGAGAAGAGGCTGTTCAGCTTTGCGAAGCACTTAATAGTACCATCCCAACATGGGACCAAATGGAAAAAGCCTACACCCTGGGTTTTGAAACTTGCAGGTAGGAAACCTTTCCAAATATACAATGGACACAGATGTACTGTCAAAGAATAGATACAGATTTTTTTTCATGTGTTGTTTCCCTTACCTACCCTTTACATTTTTTTCAGTTTTTCTCCTTAAATGTGCAATATATTTATCTTTGCTAATTTTCCTTGGTGCTTTCTCTTCTTGGATTGATTTTAACAATTAATTATTATAACCAACTTCAGGCCACCTTACTTTTTCAGACTGTTCAGAGTCAGGACCTAACTTTTTAAATTAAACATAGCCTGAGGTATTATCTATTTTTAACTATTGTATGCACCTTCAATTTCTCTTGGAAGATTTACATATGGAAAATCTTAGTAGTAACAGTCAGATGGCTCTGTGTAATTATTATACTCTTAAGGACTGATTTGGAAGCCTTTGTTATTTCTTTCTTTCTGTCTTCTTTGTGCTGGTCTTTTTTGTCTTTTCAGCTTTGTCTAACTAGTTTTTCTTTTTTACAAAAATAAAATGATGAGACACCTCAAGATCTTTCTCTCACTCAACCCTGTCACTAATGTGAGATATTCACAAACTTCCAACTGAAGAGCGTCATTTTTAAAACACATTTACAGCCATTACTAAAGTAATTATTAGTGCAAACCTGCAAAGTAGATTAATATAATTATCTCAGTGACTGAGTTGTGGAGGGTAAGAGAATAGTGGTTTCTTTTAAGGCCACCCAGGTCAAGGTTTGAGCTTGAAACTTCCCAGCTTCTATGGCTAAGTACAATATTAGTCATTGTGCTATAGTAGCTTTCATCATCAGCTTTGCAAATATTTCTGTGTCTTCCTGCCCACCTGCATAGATACCTGTGCTAGAGGGCAGGTTGAAGACTGGTCTGGCAATGTCAACCCTGTAAAGCAGTGGTTCTCAACCTGTGGGTCGGGACCCCATTTGCGGTCGATCGACCATTTCATGGGGGTTGCCAAGCAAGGCTGTCCGCCATTTTTTTTGTCCGCCATTTTTCCCCCTTTCCGGCGGGTACCTTACCTCCCTTGGGCTGGGCCAGCTGGTTGTCAGCCTGCTCCGTCTCTGCCGCTTGCCAGCTACGCCTCGGCCGGCGCAGGGGGCGGAACCACGCATGTGCGGCGCTCCCGGGCAGGGAAAGTCCTCGACTTACGAACGGTTGGGTAGTCCTCGACATACGACCGGTTTAGTCCTCGACATACGACCGGTTTAGTCCTCGACTTACGACCGGTTGGGGTCGTGGCATTAAAAAGGTTGAGAACCACTGCTGTAAAGACTACTGCTTATTACTAGCGTTTGGCAATTGCTGGAAGTAAAATTATAGCATAAGATATATGCTATGTCAGCATTTCTAATCATTCATCTCTCTAACGATGATGATAGAGAAATGATATAATGTAGAAAATATTCCTACCCCATGTTCTGATGGAAAGTTGCCGAGCTATTGCTTCTGAATTTTTAAGCTATAATTTCATGCATTGTTCAGACTTGTATGAGAGTACTTTCAAAGTATTAATAATAAATACAAATCTAGTGGTATGTAAGGTAATTACCCTCATTAACATAAAAAGTAGTTTATTAGCAAGTTGCTGTTAATGCAGTTATTCTAAAATACTTAACTCCACTGAAAAAAATTAAAACCAGTATGTCCATTATGATCAGTATGTCAGAAAATCATTGCCAGCAATGTTGGACCTTTGGCCTGACTTATATCACTGTTCCATTTTCAGAAGGAATCAAAATAATATACAATGTGGGAGAAAGAGAAAACCAATATTTTTGAATGCATGCTTAGTTGTGTGATTATTCAGTCTTGGGTAACGATTCACTGTTTTCCAACTCACAATGCACATTTATATACAAGCTCCCTCCTACATATAGCTTGTTTTCTTTTGAGTTAAGAAAATAGTGTAAGGTTAAATGAATGCAGGAGCATAATGTAAGTGGGAAATTAGTATTTCGGTATCAAAGCTTTTCAGAAAATTTTCGTATATGGTACATGCCATGTGAAGATTTGATATAATGAACCGATGTAACATAGGTGTTTCTGTTGTGATGAAATAGCCTACTATATGTGTCTCTGATTTTTTTTTTAAACAAAGCTTTAAAAAGTTGCCAATATATGCTGGCTTTGCATAAAGGCCTAGGTTTGGTACAGATATATGCAAAGCTCTTGACCTCCAACTCAACCCTGAACACACCAAATTAAAAAAGAACACCCTGTCCATAAGCCTAGACCAGTGTTTCTCAACCTTGACAATTTTAAGGCATGTGGAGTTCAACTCCCAGAATTCCACAGCCAGCATTGCTGGCTGTGGAATTCTGGGAGTTGAAGTCCACATGCCTTAAAATTGTCAAGGTTGAGAAACACTGGCCTAGACAAAAGTTGAGCAGCCTGTTGATGGGGCTTCTACTTGTACAACCACAATTGAGCCTCATATTTCTGTTGTTAAGTAAAACATTTGTTAAGCGAGTTTTGCCCCATTTTACGACCTTTCTTACCACAGTTGTTAAATGAATCACTGCAGTTGATAGGTTAGTAACCTGGTTGTTAAGTGAATCTGGCTTCCCCATTGATCACATGATCATGGGTATGCTACATAGGTCGTAACTGTGAAAAATGGTCATAAGTCACTTTTTTTCAGTACTGTTGTAACTTTGAACGTTCACTAAATGAACTGTTGTAAGTCAAGGACTACCTGTATATAATTTTTTGCCTGATGACTTCCTGAAGTTGCAACTTTAGGAAATTAGGAAGAACCCTGCCTGAGCAGGGGGTTGGACTAGATGACCTTCAAGGTCCCTTCCAACTTTACTATTATTATTATTATTATTATTATTATTATTATTATTATTATTATTATTATTATTATTATTATTATTATCTCAGCTGCTTTGAGTTTGTTGAGAAGGGAGAAGGGGAAGGTGTGTGTGTGCGTTTCTGTGTGTAGCCAAATGTATAAGAATCTCTTCACCTGAGCATTCATTAACAACTTTTGCCCCTCTACCAGCATACAAACATGTTGGTTTTTTCATCAGTAGGCACTGTATTTCCGAGTTTAATTGAAATCTGTTTTCATTATAAATGCCCTTTATCTTTTGGAATCAGATTAGTTTACCTGTATCAACCTGCCCATATTAGAAGAATGCTTTTGCATGTGCTGCTCACTTGGTTGTTATTTAGCTCCACTGGGCATGAAAAAACATCCTTTTCAATGATGACTCTTTGCCTAATTCTGTAACAAAAATAGAAAGAGCAGTGTTCTGTAGATCATCATAACACTTTTAAATTAGAAAACAATACATTGTGATTCTACATGTGTCCAGAATTCATTGAGAATGTAAATATTGTTAGGATTATAGCCTTTGTAATATTTAAAATACACAAATGGAAAAGAAGATGAATATGAAAAAAATATGAATAAAATCCACTATTAGTATGGAAATGTTAATGTGAGGTTGTAAAGATTACCGTAATTTATTACTTAATTATACATGCATTTAACTGTACATAATATTAATATTTCTGCTTGACTTATGAGGTTCCATAGATACTTACATTCAATACAGAATAACAAGAAGGCTAGTACACTTTTTACTTGCCTTGTATTGATAAATTGTTGTTGCACACTAGCATTTTTATTACAAAATCACAATGTTTAGAGAGGGGGGGTGTTTTTCCACATTCAGCAGATACACTAGAATGTGGTTCTGTCTCCTGCATCAGGGGAGACAGGGATTCTGGATTCATGGAATCATAGAGCTGAAAGAGATAAAACTTCATAAATTGCCTAATATATCTCTTTCTATAATAAGCGATAGTGTATTATTTAATAGCTGAAGAGTGTACTTATCCTTTCCTGAATGCATGAACAGAATGTTTTTCTTCACATAATGAATACAAAAAGTCCAATTTCAAAAAGACTAATGGTCTCTTTAATATTTATTTCCTAACCCATATGTGGGAAAATTTATCATATACCCTAGGGGTCCCCAACCCCCGGTCCATGGACCGGCACCGGGCTGTGGCATACCAGCAACCGGGAAGCCCCATCTGCTGGATGCAGGCAGTACACAAAACCATGCCCCTTCTGGTTCGTGGAAAAATCTTTCTCCACAGAACCGGTCCCTGGTGCCCAAAAGGTTGGGGGCCTCTGATACACCCTTTGGGAATCCAAGGTTATAACATGCAGAGTGGTGGGAGGAGTTGAAACAATATATATGGGACTATTGTTATGAGTCTGAGAATGGCAGGCACTTAGAGTGAAGGCCACTACTGGCTATCCTGACTTATCTCATGACCCAGTACTATCTAAACTGCTCTGGTTCTTTAGGATTTCAGTTAGAAATTCTCTCCAAAGTTGCTTAAAAAGAGAGAGAGAGATAATCACAGCAATATGGTTCCCTTGACTATAGCATACTAAGGAAATAATGCATACAATTATGCAATTTATGCTAGATTGATAAATAGGATACAAAAGGAGCATTTTGCAAAGCTTCTTTCAAAGTACCTTTCCATTTTTTTAAGGCAGCTTCCATGTTCTAGAAGACTTGGTATAGCTTCTTCAACTTTTCCCAGGTTCTTTGCATGTGCATGCCCAAACAGCACTTCCATTGAGACTTTACCCTGAACAAAATGTTCATGCATGTATACTAGATGCATTTATTTATTATCTATTAATCATATATAATTTAAATTATGATTATTATTATTATTATTATGCTTGCAGAAATAATCTGGGAAAAGCCTCAAAGCAACCTTGAATGCCTTCAAGAGGGGCAGCTGTTTCAGTGCTTTGAAGATGGCTGCTTCATTCTTGCAGATACTTTGTTCAGTACTAATTTGTACTTCTTAAATTTAAGGAAGATCAGTGGAACAAAATGGTTGTAGATTCTTTTTTATATCTAATCCTTTTTCATTGTCTTGTTTGCATTCTACTAAGCTGTGAAATCATTTAGAATACAAAAGCCATACAAATGAAATCTATAGCTTTACAACTCAATATCATGCATTCCTGACCAATGCCAACATCACAGGGAGAATTACTTGTAATTCCTCATTTCTGTAAGATCTGGGAGAATAGAGACCAAGAGAAGGAGCCCTCCATGTTATGAAACACCCATCCCCTAGGAGTAAAACCTGCCCCAATCTTGTTGACCTTTCAAATTACTTGAAGTGGAATACTTTAGGACACTTTTTAAATTAGTTAGACCACAGCATGGGAATGTAATATGCTCTTTCATTTCCTTAAGCTTTGTTTTTATTATTATTACATTCGGTTCTATATTAATTTTGAATAACATTCAATAACACCCCTTGCATTTTCCATTTTCTGTATCACTGAGAGTTTGTCATAATTTTGTGTTGCTACATTTCTGTAGTGCTTTGAACCAAAGGTCCCCAATCTTTTGGGCACCAGGGACTAATTATGCAGAGAGAGGTTTTTCTGTGGACTGGAGATGTGGCTTTGCTTGTTTGTGCGGCCCAGTTGCTGACTTGCTGCGGCCCGGTACCGGTCCATGGACCGGGGGTTGGGGACCCCTGCTTTGCACCATATAGTTGATATGCAAATGTTGGCTATATTGTTGTTAGTTGCGAAGTCGTGTCCGACCCATCGCGATCCCATGGACAATGTTCCTCCAGGCCTTCCTGTCCTCTACCATCTTCTGGAGTCCATTTAAGCTCACGCCTACTGCTTCAGTGACTCCATCCAGCCATCTCATTCTCTGTCGTCCCCTTTTTCTATTGCCCTCAATCTTTCCCAGCATTAGGCTCTTCTCCAGTGAGTCCTTCCTTCTCATTAGGTGGCCAAAGTACTTGAGTTTCAACTTCAGGATCTGGCCTTCTAAAGAGCAGTCAGGGTTGATCTCCTCTAGGACTGACCGGTTTGATCGCCTTGCAGTCCAGGGGACTNGCAGGAGTCTTCTCCAGCACCAGAGTTCAAAAGCCTTAATTCTTTTGAGCTCAGCCTTTCTTATGGTCCAACTTTCACAGCCATACATTGCAACTGGGAAAACCATGGCCTTGACTATACATACTTTTGTTGGCAGGGTGATGTCTCTGCTTTTTAGTATGCTGTCTAGATTTGCCATAGCTTTCCTCCCCAGGAGCAAGTGTCTTTTAATTTCTTGGCTGCAGTCCCCATCTGCGATGATCTTGGAGCCCAGGAAAATAAAATCTGTCACTACCTCCATTTCTTCCCCATCTATTTGCCAGGAATTGAGAGGGCCGGATGCCATGATCTTGCTTTTCTTAATGTTGAGTTTCAAGCCAACTTTTGCACTCTCCTTCTTCACCCTCTTTTAGTTCCTCTTCACTGTCTGCCATTAGAGTGGTATCATCTGCATATCTTAGGTTGTTGATATTTCTCCCAGCAATCTTAATTCCAACTTTTGATTCCATCTAGCCCTGCCTTTCTCATGATGTGCTCTGCATATAAGTTAAATAGGCAGGGCGATAGAATACAACCTTGCTGGACTCCTTTCCCAATTTTGAACCAATCAATGATTCCGTGTCCAGTTCTCACTGTTACTTCTTGACCCGCATATAGGTTTCTCAAGAGACAAATAAAATGGTCTGGTACTCCCATCTCTTTGAGAACTTGCCACAATTTGTTGTGATCCACACACAATCAAAGTCTTTAGCATAGTCAATGAAGCAGAAGTAGATGTTTTTCTGGAACTCCCTAGCTTTCTCCATGATCCAGCGTATGTTGGCAATTTGATCTCTAGTTCCTCTGCCTCTTCGAAATCCTGCCTGTAATTCTGGAAGTTCTCGATCCACATACTGCTGGAGTCTAGCTTGTAGGATTTTAAGCATAACTTTATTAACATGTGAAATGAGTGCAATGGTGCGACAGTTTGAACATTCTTTGGCACTGCCTTTCTTTGGAATTGGAATGTAAACTGATCTTTTCCAATCCTGTGGCCACTGTTGAGTTTTCCAAATTTGCTGGCAAATTGAGTGTAGCACTTTTACTGCATCGTCTTTTAAGATTTCGAATAGCTCAGCTGGAATAGCTCAGCGTCCACTAGCTTTGTTGTTGCTCAGTTTTCCTAAGGCCCATTTTACTTCACATTCTAGGATGTCTGGCTCGAGGTCAGTGACCACCCCATCGTGGTTATCAGGGATGCTAAGCTCGTTCTTGTATAGTTCTTCTGTGTAATTTTGCCACCTCTTCTTAATTTCTTCTGCTTCTGTTAGATCCCTGCCATTTTGGTCCTTTATCATGCCCATCTTTGTATGAAACGTTCCCTTCATATCTCCAATTTTCTTGAAGAGATCTCTGGTTCTCCCTATTCTATTCTTTTCTTCTATTTCTTTGCACTGTTCATTTAAGAGGCCATTCTTATCTCTTCTAGCTATTCTCTGGAATTCTGCATTCAATTGGGTGTATCTTTCTCTTTCTCCCTTGCCTTTCGCTTCCCTTCTTTCCTCAGCTATTTGCAAAGCTTCCTCAGACAGCCATTTTACTTTCTTGCATTTCTTTTTCTTTGGGATGTTTGGCTATATAGTTTCACACATTGAATTAATAATGTTTTTTCCCTTTTTTTCTAGATATGGCTATATAGAAGGCAAAGTCGTACTTCCCAGGCATACTCCTTATTTTCTCTGTGCAGCAAACAACACAGGAATTTATGTACTTTCCTCAAATTTTTCTGACCGATACGATGCATATTGCTTCAATTCGTCAGGTATGCTTTGGGTTGGTCACATATTTTCTACTGCTGGGAAAATCTTGTATTTGACACAGAAGCACAATAGAATAAAGATAGGAGAGAACAATGTGTACGAAGAAACCATTTGCTCCTGGTCAGCATACCTCATGATCCATGAAAATGAACAAATCCAACAATATTTGTTGGATTTGTTGAATATCAGACATTGTGGTCTGATAGTTGCTTCATAGCACTCTTGGTATTATGCCCTCCAGCAAGCAAAAACAAAAGTAAAAATAGAATATGTTGTTGAAGATTGCAGCACTCCTCTTGTCTCTGAAGCTGGCTTGTTTTTTCACAGGCTGTGTCAATCCTGCTGCAGACTTTTAATAGCAGAAGTCTGCAGAGAAGAAAGACTATGGAGATATAAGTGACAGATACAACTCAGATTCATCTCCAATATGCTGCTTTTGTTCCAAAACATGAACTTTACTTGCTGTTTATATGGAGTTGGGAAAGGTCTTGAATAATGGTTCTGTCATTATTGTCTCTAAAAGTAAAAATCCAATGTAGTTAAGCAACTAGAGCAATGAAAGAAACAACTAAATCATAATCCACATGAATTTTATGGAAACATTACGTACGTACTTACGTACGTACGTACATACATACAACGACAGGAAACACATAGTGCTTCCCACATTTTGTAGCCCTGGAGGCCTTCACCACTTTCTTTTTTCATTTTACAAAAGTTGTTGTTGATTTTTTTGTTTCCCATTTTGTCTCCCATTTTTAGAATCAAGAGATGTGGTTTGTGAACCAGTGAAAAAGTTATATTCAGCTTTGCCTGATAATAACAGCAGTATTGGTAAGGATTGAATTTCTTTTTTTTAACATATAAAACCTTCCTCTGGTGAAACTAAAGGGCATGAAGAGTGTGGAATATGTCACTAAACTTGGGTGAGACTTAGCTTGGCTTGAAGTGATAACAAAGTCTATTTAAACTAATTTACAAGCAGAAATCAGTTGCAAAATTAAGAAACATGAGATACATTTTTCTCTGGGAGTCTTTAGTGAGAATTTATCATAGATAGTTTGATGTTGCAGTTATGGGTGTTTTGCATAGGATAGGATTGTAAACTCAGCAAGTGATGCTCAAAAGGAATTGAATAGACTTCTTTTCTTTACAAGTTTCACAAAAATCAAGCATTCCAGAGACCTCAATATATAGTGCTTTGTGGCATGTTATTTTGTGCAGTGTTATGTTGGCATAGTTCTAGTAGGGAAGGTCATTTTGTGTGTTACATGCACAAAATATATTATGTTCCACTTTTCATAGAAAAGAAGTACTTCTTGTAAATACACATACAAAGTGCACAATCATTACTGTATGACAGAGATAATGATTTATTAAGGGATTATTTCATAATAGTGGTCAAAATAATTTAGACGTACTGTTGCGGGAAAAAAATCCTTTTTAATTGGCAGAATCTTACAAACCTTTCCCAAATGGACTGAAAATTGGACCGATCGTTTATTTTCATGTTGACACATTTATAGATTGGCTCCTGTAGCCACCATCTCTAAGTTTCTGAAGCAGAATTGTGATTCCTGAAATACTGTTTACTCTTAATCAAAATTATGGCTCATTGAAACAAGCTAGGACCAAATCATATATTTTTGAAGTACCTTATAAATGAATAATTGTGTAGATTTAATCAGAATGTCATATGTAACAGTGAACCCCAGAAAAAGACATATTCTGATTCTGACCATATCAGAGGAAGAGAGAGGAACTTAATAGCTTGAAGCTTTCTACCACTTAGGTTCCTATTTTTCAGCAGAATCTAAACTGAGCGATATATTCACATATTGTTTATGTTTGAGTAAGGGTTTAATAAGTTTTCACATTGCATTATATAACTATATTTCCTGCACCATTTGTCTAGTTTCAATCAACAGGGTAGTGTTAAATACTGTATGTCCTTTTTCATTCAGAAATTTTCAATGCTGATGGATCACGGTATGTTGAAGGAAAGAAGGTCACCGAAAGGCCACAAGTTACTGAAGATGACAGTAGTGTGGGCAGTGGTTCTGCAATTGGCAGAGGAACTACAGATCCCAGTGACTTCATATCAGGTATTTGCATTCTAAGAATGACATTTAAATAGTGCCTTGGAAAGTTCATAGACCGTCTTGCTTCCAGATGAGTGGACTTCAGTTCTCAGAATCAGTCAGCAAGCATCAGCATTACTGAAGCTTCTGGGAGCTGAAATAGATTGGGGAAAGTTGTTTGTTACAGGTAGTCCTTCATTAGAGATAGTCCTCATTTAGTAACTGTTTAAAGTTACAACAGGACTGAAAAAAAAGTGACAATGTGTTGCTCCCTAGCTGGACCCCTTGATCCTATTTTTTGCTAATTCAAAGGTCTCCCCACCAAGACAGTGAATCAGTGGCAAATTTTAAAGGAGAGTCATAAAACATGACACCATAAATCTGTTTGGGGTTTACTGTACAGTGCAGTACATATAATATAATACATTTTCTCTAGCTATCCCACCTCAAAGCAAAGCACAATAAAACAGCCAGAAAACTTTCCATTATCCATGTGACTATTCCTGTGTCATCACCTAACCCAGTATAAAAAGAAACTTCTGTTTATCAAATTCAGGTTCTTGTGCGTATTACCTATTTATTTTTATAGCTTTTACTATTAGCCTGCCTTGTCTGACTTATAGGATATGTAAAATGAAGGGCTTAAGAGAAAATATGGCTTCAGTAGGATTCCTGCTGATCAGCCCTGGCTTCGTTAGGATTCCTGAAACTTGAATGCAGCATTTATCATTGGAAAAAGAAAATGAGAATTTCTTTCAAGTGTTAGGAAAACTGTATCTAATTGAATAACACATTGGTAATTGTACATACACTAATTGTGCGTGATAGTCCACAGAAAGCATATGGCACAAGCTTTTTATAACTAAAATATCATTTACGCTAAGAGAAAATGCCATAAAATAGCAAGCATTTGGTCCCCCCAAAATCATGAATGCAAAACACAGTTGTAAGACTTATGATTGAAAATTGTGTTGTTGGTTGGTTTCTAAGTGAAAGGAGTACAGCTCATTCATATTTTATGACACAGAGGATGATATCACAACGTTTACAGCAGTATATGGAAGTGAAGACCCCCATTACCACCATCCAGGAAATCCTGAAGATCAGAATCCTAGTAAGTGTGATAATTGTACTAGTATCTGTTGTAACTTGGTTTTGTGTGTGTGTGTGTGTGTGTGTATGTATATATGTATATGTATAATTAGAATTATACATTTAAGCTCTTGTATCTTCTAAAGTAAAGAACAGCTTGAATAAGAAGAAATGAAAATTCTGGTATATGACAAGAACATTTAGGTTCAGTGTGTTCAGTTTTTATACTGTGTAATTGCTACAGATGGTATGTTATAATAATGAGTTCATGGTATTTGATATCTCTGTTGTAGAGCCATTAGGTATTTGCTTTCCAAAAAAGGGAGGATGAGTTTCATGGGTAAAGGCTGATCAGATGATTTTATATGGACTAGTCGTTTGCTCCTTTTGTGCCCATGTTTTGTTCTATGAAATATTTCTGAATGATGTATTTCTCTAATAGAGTCTCTACAGTCTGTGACTAAAATTAAAATCTCTAGCATTCATTAAGAATATCCACCCCCCCCCAATACCTGTTTGATGGAATGTGCACCTGGAGAAGCAGTAGAAGGGAGTCTTGGCAGCACAGAGCTTTCCCAGGGAGGAAGCAGTACATTCCAGAGAGAAGTCCAATTTAAGAAAATGTGGTGTCAGGAAAAGTGAGGAGTCTTAGGGTAGTCGCACTGTAGATATGCAGAATCTGTCAGTGTATATTATTAGTATAGAGTGTCAGTAGGCAAGATTCTATCCGTTAGGTGTAAGCCAGGGGTAGTCAACCTTGGCTCTTTTATGACTCGTGGACTTCAACTCCCAGAATTCCTGAGCCAGCTGTGCTGGCTCAGGAATTCTGAGAGTTGAAGTCCACGAGTCATAAAAGAGCCAAGGTTGACTACCCCTGGTGTAAGCAATAAAAGATTGGACTCAACTGGATTTATTGTCTTTGGGGCTTGGCCTGATATACAAATGTAAATCTTCTTAGAAGAAGTAATTGGTTTTTTTTCTTACCATTTCTAACAATTATATTGGAAAGATATGTCATTGTGGATCCTTCAGCCAAAATGCTCATTAAAAACCCCCAGGGATGGTTATTTGACCTGTATACAGTGGTGGGATTCAGCCGGTTCGCACTGGTTCAGGAGAACCGGTAACTAAATTTACCTGAATTCGGAGAACTGGCTGGCTTCTGGAAGTCCAATCTAGGCCTCGGAGGCCTCCCAGGCCTAGAACGGCCGACCAGAAGTGCATGGATACCACTTCCGGAAGTCCGTTCTAGGCATCGGAGGCCTGGAGGAGGCCTAGAACGGCCCATTGGAAGTGCGTTGATGCCACTTCCGGAAGTCTGTTCTAGGTATCGGAGGCCTGGAGGAGGCCTAGAACGGCCCATTGGAAGTGCGTTGATGCCACTTCCGGAAGTCTGTTCTAGACATCGGAGGCCTGGAGGAGGCCTCCTAGGCCTAGAACGGCCCACCGGAAGTGCATGAATGGCCCACCGGAAGTCTATTCTAGGCATCGGAGGCCCAGGCCTGCATCACATAATAGAACCGATTGTTCAGGTATTTGAATCCCACCACTGCCTATATATAAGGCAAAGAAAGTGTTTACTGTGTTATGATAATATTTAATATCTAGAGGAAGAACTTCCGTTTGAGATTTTGTCATCCAGCTTTGTGATGGCATTTCATCTTGCTTTCACCTTGCCTTTCTTCATATATACTGGCTTTTTTTCTATTTTTCTGCTAATATATTTGGATTCTCAGAAGTGAAGCCAAAGAGAATTTCATGTTAATCCAAATAACAGTTTTATATGAATTGTTCTAATCTAATGGATCATTTCCTTCTTGTTTGTCTTTTTACATACATGCTAACTATTAACATGACTTTGGTATTGCAACAGTTTCTGTTTTCTCAGCATTAATTTTAGATTTAGAAGTTATGTTATACAACAGGCTAACTAATAGAAGATATTCTCAAGGTGACATTAATATAAACTTCTTTTTATTGTCTTCATAAAACTGATTGATCAATAATCTCCAACTTCCTAATTATTATTTTCAACTCCTGATGTTTAAATACGTACAAATAGGCATGAGACTATCTAGTGGAGATCTACCCATTAGAAAAACTTGTCATATATGTTTTTTCCTTCCAAGATAATGGCCTCTCTGTCCAATATATGTTTCTAATTATTCATAAGTGCATCTTTTTTTCTATTTTGAAACATATTTAGCAGTATATATGTGCAGTTTTCTATAGAGCAAGATGGTTTAATTTATGCAACAGTCTTCATTTTTTTCAGAGATCCTGCAGTTATAATGAAAACCTTTGTTATTACTTTGGATATTTACCTACAATTGCAAATTTTCAGGATTTGCTTTTGGCAATGCTTACTTTGAATGCAGCTGTTTGTTTCATTGTCAGAGATTAGAAGCATAAACTTATTTCTGGTGAAAATTGGCAAACCTAGAAACCAATTTTCATCAGTTCATGAAAAGGTAAGCTGGAAACAGGTCTCAAAAATCTGGCCAATAAAGCCATTTAAACTAGTGTGTTTTTAAAAATCTGGACCCATTCCTCGATTTCATGGAAAAGCTGATTTCTCAAATACCTAGGAATAATTAAAGCAATTTTATATGCTAAATTTTGCAGCTATGTGATTTAAAACTAATAACTTTGTCTCTGTGGTGGTCTATGTTGTATAGTAAAAAACATTAAAATAGAATTGACAAATATTTATTATTTCAAATGCTTCCAAACATTGCAGGTGGTGGTTGCAAATGGGAATGTTTTTTTCTGTACTCTTCTGCTCTGTGCCTAGATCAAGGATTAATGTAATCCTATTGATCTGTGTTGGTTGCAATGTTATACTCTGGGTTCCTTCCTCCCTCTCACATGATTCATTCTGTCAAAAGCATATCTCAATAGCTTGTATGTGTTTTTCTGCATTTGGGTGAATGCATGGGTGATATGATGGAATTTCCCATGTTTAAGATTGCTATTTTGCAATTGACTTTTTGTTAGCTATAAATTATAAATTATAATTGCACTGAATGTTCTATTGTTGGTGCACAGAATGTATATTCATGAAAAATATGATTGCGTCACATGAAGTATTTTACATAAGAAACTTTGGTTTGGGGAAGGAACTTTGCTTATATTAATACTGCTACATTTATGTGGCTTTTTAGAGAGTGAATAGACTTGAACTTTAGCTTTGATACTTCCATGTAAATAGAATACGTGTATGTTGTACTGTATATTGAACAGAGAAAAATTAAAGTTCTAAAATAACTTTATACAATTATGATTGCATGAACTTCAGATTATGGGATTGACTGGCAGATAATGAAGATTACATTGAATAGATAATCCAGAAAAAATATTTTACAGTTCAATCCCTATGCCAAATAAGTTTTATTCCTGATTTTGTTTGGAAACTCAAAACTGAAAATTAAGAGTTTCCATTCTTAGACTATGCATAAAAGAACATGCTATCACTTGTGTCTGCGAGGGGAACATATGTGATGGAATTCCAACATATATTTCTTAACCATCATCACTTCCACTCTTCCCATTGTGCTGAAATAGAAAGTTGCTATATTTACTTCAGTGGGTTCTTCCTCTTCTTCCTGATATCTTCATCTCTTCGAGGGCTTCTGTTCTTTGTATTGTTGTTGCTTTCTTTTTTTATCATTGAAAATGATCTCCATTAGATTTACATCTCTATACTTTACAATGGTGGAAATTATTATGCTCTTCTCTATCTTTGCATTGCCACAAGGAAAGACTAAGACTTGGCATTTGAACAAAAATAACTGTGGAAATGTGATCCTTGAATTAGCTTCCTGTTTGAAAATTCCATTATCAAAATTATGAAGCTTCAATTCAAGAATGCTGGATATCCCATTTTATTTCTGAATTGACAATAGAAATGCAAATTCTTATCATCCTTTAATATAACCATGATGAAATTAGATTTGTTTGAGAAGCAAAACATCTGGATTTAAAGATAACCCAGTTCAACTTACTATGTTTATTACTTGGATTCCCTTTCCAACCCCCAAATCTTTATTTTGGGTTCATAACGTTTGTATTGTTAGTGTGTAATCCATCTTGTCTTAGGATACTTCCAAAATAAAATATGTATGAGTATATTATTTGAAAACCAACAACAGCAATGCTGTTTAAGGACACAGGAAGTAGCCCTTTATCATCTTCTATGAGGACGTTGTATTGATCGAAGATACAACACATATTCAACACTATAGTTATTCTGCCATCATTACAGCTGAAGAAAATTCAAATCATGGAAAGCATCATGGAAATTCTAGTCAAGATCAGCAAATCACTGAAGATTTTCCATTATGGTGGCCACCTGAAGAACCTAAAGAAATGCAGAATACAACCTCCAGCGAGGGTAAACTTTTGAAACATTTTAGTCAATCATAGTCTCTTGCTTTTTTTCAAAATGTCTGGCCAAAAATGTGGTTTCCCTGGGAAAAAAAATATGGCATATATTCTTCATGAGTGCTGCTTGAATAGTTCTGGTATTGGTGCATTAGAAACATGAACTGTAATACCGGTAGCCAAGTAACCAGCTATGTCATATAGAAGTCTGTTGTTTGGACCTAAATGAAACTGTTTCTTTAAGAGCATACTACTTAAGTATGGTTTAAGGGCATGCTATTTTAGGAATTAATCTATGTGCCGACATGTACAAAAGCTAATGGGCATATCTCTTGCATATATAGTATGGAAAGACATATGATTGCTTCAACTGAAATTATAGTGCAGGGGCATTGCTTGTTAATAAACAGTCAATTTCTAAACAGTTAATTGTTTTAAACCAGTTTTAATCTTCCTTTCAGTTTACTTTTAAAAATAAAATGTGTCATATAATTTACACACAGATAAGACCCTGTAAACATTTCCTTTTTAACATGTAAGTCAAAAGCTCATATCCTCAGGTCCTACACCAATATTGTTTATCTAAGTGCATTGTAAATTATAACTATTCAAAGCAGCCCATTTCTATAAGAGTTACAATTTAAAGGAAAAAAAAACTTGACGACATGACAAAGAAAAGTCTTATATGAGCTGGTTCCTTAATGGATTTAAACTGTTCTGTATAATTGGAGAAAAACAAAATATTTCTAAAGTTCTGCATTGTGCTTCTCCATTCATTTGGGAAGTTTTCCTCCACATTTTATCAGCTGAATATTTACTGTGCTATCAATAAATGGTTGTAGAATGTGTTATTCTCCCTCTGGATCACAGTCACATCAATCCATCCAAGTCTTAGTATGGATCTGCAGTTTTCTGGACATATACTTTCTAGAACAGGGGTGTCAAACTGCCGGCCTGTGGGCTGGACACGTCATGTGGCAGCCACGCCCACCCCATTCCCGGCAATGGCAAAACCGGCCCGATACGTTGTGTGACGTCACGTGACGTCGCAATTTTGACATGCCTGTTCTAGAATATGAAATGATTGTCATGCTCTGGATATGATTCAGTAGGATCAGACCCTTTTTAGCAAGATTCATTTTGGAAAACGAATGCTGGATCAACATTATCAGGAGGAAGAAATGTATGTTTCTCTGAAATACTCTATCTTCACAGAGAGAACAGTTTGTACATACTTATCCCCTGATATAAACTTTTTTTTAGAAACACAGTTGGTTGCCATTTTATGATTTTAGCTGACATTCAGTATATTGTGAGGGATTTGTGGGGGGGGTGTTGTATTTATAATTGACTTTTTGTATGCTGCCCATGTTATAAATATATGTCTTCCAGAAAAGAACTGAAATATATATTTAAAAGGCAACATGGGGCTTTAGCAAGAGAAAGCTGGCTGCAGTAAGCGTATTGATATTTTGATATGAATACCTGGTTGCAAAATACATGAGTAGGATGCCAAAGGTGAACAGTGTTTGCTTTTCATATTGTCCTATTTCTCCTTGAAACATGTACTCAGAAAACCAAATTACAGTTGTATCGTTCATAACTGATACACAACATGGATACTCATTGAAATGAAGTGTAAGAATAAATATAGGCACCAGAATATAAAATAGAGAGGAAAGAACTTACACTTAACCATTTCCCAATTTTGATAATTAGTTCAAAGCATGCAGTTCAAGTGTAAATGCCAGGTTGGTGATGAGTTGAAATGAATTGCAAAGACTTTAACATTCCTTTCTGCAGCTTAATCAAGAATTGTTAGTTTACTTAATAAAAATACTGCAAACTTATTTACCTGTTTTCCAACCAGATATCAGTGACAGTATTTCCACAGTTAACATATCAATTCAGTTGACTGTTGGTTGACTCCTTTTGTATCTTTGATTCAGTACTGATTTAGGGATTTGTAGCATAAGCTTTAGGATAACTATGTTATCTTAAAAGATGTGCATAATATTAAATTTCATAATAGTACCAGAAGGAGTCTTTGATTACTAAGTTTATTACTTTTTTAGTTTATTATCTCAGTATTGTAATTTAAGAGTAAAAAAGTTATTCTGTTCAGTTTCATTCAAATTCATTCAGAAAATTCAAATTAAATCACCTCTAATTATTTGGAATAAAAATATATTATCATATTAATGCATTTAAAATAATCACGGCTTTTTCATAACTTGCTAGTACATTCTCCTGATTGGATTTGTTGCAGGAAATTTTTGTTCTTTGCCTATACATAGATTTTATTCCTTGCTCTATGATTTTGCATAACTTTAGCAGGCCCAGTGAATCTGGGAGATGTGCGTTTGCTGAATAGTTTCTTGAGTCAGCTCAGAATGTAATATAGTTCCTATTGTGCTATTATTTCTATATTAATTAGCTTTATGTGAGAATACAATGCTTCCATTCCATTCCCTGCTTTCCAAGTAAATTCATATTCAGATTCCACTTACGTTCTTCCAAAGAAGTCTCCCCCCCCATTTTATGGGAGAGATCCTTTTAAAAATTAGAATTAGGATTACATTTGTGATTTGAAACAGTTTCTTAAGTACCTCATATTTCATTGAAATGTTGCAGTTGCTGAAGTAAAAATGATTCTGTATGTGTTTACTAGCACAACCTGTTTTGCCTTCCTTAAATCACAATCAGAGGGCACAATCCAGATTCTATCACTCATTTAAAGTGAACTTGTTTGTTGTTGTTTTTTGAATTCACACACATACACAGAGAGACACAGAGAGAAATAGAGAGAGAGAGCACAATGGAACTGAAATTAGATAACCCATTCTTCATATCTTATTGACTATTCCAGTCAGTGAAGCAAGAGCATATTAATGATATAGGCAACAGAGAAATGAATAACTGGATGAAAATATACAAATCTTACTGTAAGTTTACATCAATAAATCAATAGATCAGAGTTTTGAAGATGATGATGGTGGTGGTGATGATGATGACGAAGAAGGGTCTGGGCAAAAAAATCCTGAAACAGTTCTTGAGTGGGACAACAGTGGTGATAAGGAACTTCAGTCATCAAATACCAGTAAGAACTAATCCCTATCGTGCATTGTATTATAGAAAATAATTAAGCCATTATAAAGATGCAAAATGTCATTTATATGTAGGCTTAAATCTTCAATAGTATAGTATTTGTATTGATCTACAAAAGAATATTTTATCTGAGATAGATAGTAGTAAATAATAGCAAAATTGCAGTTTCAACTGCGGATGATTTTGCTCTGTATTTCTCTGCATGAACTATTTTGCATAGCTGGCAGTGGCTTTTGCATTGGAAAATGTCTGTCTTGGCTAATGCTGGAAATGGAATCGGAAGGGGCCAAATTCTGAGCTGCCTTATCTGCTTTCCATTGATGTCTGTTTTATACTTTCACTTGGCAAATCCAAAATTAAATGTCAAATTGGTAAACATCTATGTTCTTTGACAAGTTTAGCTTTGGTTTTGGTGGTGGTTATTATGGTGCTTCAAAGTTCTCTACGCATAAATCTGAATAAATTTCTTTCTTGTTAATTGCTATCTTTTTCTATTTTAATTCATTTTGTTATACCTATGCTACTGTTGGGGAGCAGGTGGCATTGGTGATGGAACTACATGATTAATGCACATTAGCATTATATGGAGAAGTTAAAATATGAGAACATATTGAAAAGGCGTTACCTTTTATTCTTTTTATTCTACATTTCACAACATGACTGATTCTGTTCCTATAGCAACTATTTGCCAGATGAAAACTTTCCTCTTACGTAGTTCCAGGCCAAAAAAAATCTTTACCTGTATAGATGTTGTGGACCATGAAACTATTCAAGGTTCAGAAGCTTTTTTTAATGTTAGTGTTACACTTACATGCTTGGGGTTGTTGACTCAAACCTAACTTCCTTTAATGTAGAACCAGTTTGATGTAGTGGTTAAGGCATCAGACTACAAACTACCCACAGTGAATGCTTTCAACTTAGGAAGAAGATATTGCTTGTTCTTTTACGTCTGATTATTTCATCTGTCTGTACCAGAAATAGTGCATTTCTGATGAGACCGTCATGCTTGGGGGCTCACGTATGCACATTTGTCAAGTACATGAAAGTATATATATGATCTGTACTTTTTAAAACCTGTATCTTAACATGTACAGTTACATTATTCTCTAAAATAGCTTAAGCCCAAGTGCTAGTTGATGATGGGATTCCAAATATTCAACCCATTGTCAATTGAACCATTGTCACAACAGCTGTGAACTCCAGCAGAGATGTCAAACAAGAAGAATCAGCCCATGGTATATTGCTACCTGCTGTACATTCTGGAAGGGACAGTGAAGTCAGATACTCAACAAATGACACAAGAGCGGATGTCCTACCTGGAATTGTTCCTCTAGGTGATGATGAACAATATTCAACCACTACCGGTATGAGGAATTAAGCATGATAGTGAACATATTTTTCATTTATATTAGTTTGAAATAGAATTTCTTTCCCCAATATCAAAACTCAGAATGTAGTTAGTAGTTGGAAGTATTGCTATTTTTAACTGGAGTATGCAGGTAATACATTGTGCTTACTTCAAACAGGAAAATAGACTCAAACATATAGAGACATTTTCCAAATGTGTTTGCTTTATCTACCAAAACTATGATATTGAAGATGTAAATATTATGCAGCTTTGGTGAAGCCAGAGTCTCGGCACTTTAACGTTATTTCAGGCTCCAGAGTTTTGTGAAAGTTACTGAAATGCCAAATTGGAGCATTACTCTGTCCAGGATTAAAACTGTGCTTCCTAAACCTGGGTAAATTATTTAGAAGTGGATTTTCTTTGGGTAACGACCCACAAACCCATTTCCCAATCACAACAGGGAAATTTACAGTAAATTGACTTAGAGTGTTTTACCTACATTGGGTAAAAAGGACTTTTGATAAGTTGTTTTGTATGATCAAGGAAAATGTTTTGGAAGTACTGGTTTAAACCATTTCGCAAACAAATACTTGGGTAATAATAGTTGCTTTTTATCTAAAGGCATACTTTTGCCAACATTAGAACAAGAGAAATAGATTGCATTTGTATGCTGATAGACAAACTTGTTGTACAGTTGCAGCTTTATTTCTTATTAAAAGTATTGACATCTTCTCTTGAAGATGGGAAGATCTATCTTACTGCACGGGGCTTTTTGTGGGCTTTCTCTTTTGAGTTATCAATTACAATTTTTTCTCACTATCTAAAGCTTTTTCTCTTAGATTTAGTAATCATAATGTGTAACGCATTATGTTTTCTGCTAAATGATTTAATAAATTGACAATAAAGGATAAATCTGGTAGTGTGGCTTCAGTATTTCATAGTATTTCTACTTTAATTTCCTTGGATTTATACAGCAGCACCTTTAGAACTGAATAAGCTTAATTGTCTGAACTTCATCCAGGCAATGAATGCCATCCAAAATAAGCTTTTGAGCTGAAAATGTAAATCTGGACTATGTCTCTGAAGTGAGTGTCCAAAATATTTCAAGAAAGAAAATGTCCAAATAAAAGAAGAAAAGGAAGGAAAAGGATCATGTTCTTGGACTTAAGATGCTACTGTGAATCCAGATGGTACAAAGCCTTTGCATCTATCAAACACATTTGATAGATCAGATAAGGGTGCAAGCTGCTATCACATTTTTTCTGCCTCTATTGCTGTTACATTCCTTCTACTATTGTTTCTGGTGTCTGGGGCATCTCTGGAAAATCAACCATTTCTGAAAATTGTGGTGATGATTCTGGGACCTGTGAATTCAACAATACTTTCCAAAATTTTATCTACTTTCCTCTTCCTCTGCCTAACGCACATAAATGAAAGTGCAAGCCATGTATACTTTAACAAGATAATCTGGATGGTTATTCAGCAAACATAGTAATGGAATTGATTCAAAACATCATCATAACAGCTATGTCCTCCAGTGATGATTTCTTCAAGCAGGAAGACTCAAAGCAGCCTCAACTGGCGAGTGCATTTCCTGAACTGGAAATTGAAGACACAATATCCCCTGCAATCAACACTTCAGACATGTTACATCCAGAATTTTCCACTTCTGATGAAAATGAAAATACCCTGGAAAAAGACCCTTTTCATCATCCAGGTAACAATATGAATACTTCCATTACAGAGCCAACTTTCTCTTTAAAATAGCTGCATTTGTTTTCTCATCCAAGTTTCTAAACAAAAGATGTTACCCTTCCACACAAGGTATAAATAAGAACTGAGTTTTGCTTTTTTTCCCCCTCAATTCACTCCGATTATTTTAGAGTTGATTTAGACAGCAGTTTACACTTTTAAATAGTGACTGACTCTTCAGCAAGTTATTATGTGAAAATATATTTACATAGTTACTTTGCAAAGGCATTAGGCTTAGAAATATACTAGATACATGAAATTGGCTTCCGAACATAATTACTCTCTCAGAATCTATATTCTGTATTTCTCTGTAAATTCACCTGTGAATTTACTAACGTCTTAGAACAGGTTTGCAGTACTAATTTATAAGGAGCAATAAGGTTCATTGCAGGTAGCAAGGCTCTTCCTTTGATATCTGACATATCTTTGGCTGACCTGGAAAGTCACATAGGGAACATGAGTCAGTGGTTTGATGTAATAAAAGGCTTCAGATGTGAGAATAGAGGGTTATAGACTTTACTGTGTGAACAGGTCTCTGCTGCACGCAGCGCAGTGATTCATGCCCATTTGCAATTATTTGTACTGCATGCTGCATACAATTTGATTGAAGTAAAACCTTGGAATTTAGGGGATTTGAACCTTCTGAAATCACTGAAACTAGTTGGTTGCTTAAATTTGATTAATAGAAAAAGCAAATATTTTGATTTAGTTCTGTTGCCATATAATTTGGGAAATTCTACTTCATGCAGTTACTTACTTTAATTCTGGCAGAAAATTTGTGAAATACACTGAACCCAAGACATCTTAATAACCTTGGCAGCTTGTTGATATTAAGAGATCTAACATGCAAGCAAACTTTTGTATATGCTCTTTTTAAACTGAGCTAGAAAGCCTAAATGCATATTTGTTTGTTAAAAGCGCCCTCAGATCTTTGGATCTGAGACACCATCAACTGAATACATGAATAGTCAAAATTTATTCCTGCCTTATTTACCATAACTGCAACAGTTACATTCTTCAATGGAAGTGTTGAACATGAAGAAGGACATCAACATCAGCCATCAGCTGTTGATACAGTTTCACACAGGAGTCAAAGTTCTGTCACAAACAGGACAGTCCATGATATCGTACAAGTACTTGTGCCTCCAAGGGACAACTATTATGAAAATGCATCTTCGCAGTCAGGTATTGGCAGTTTAACTGTCTATAATAATGTTACTGTGTGGCATATAAAATTATTTCCAATGATGTGTCCATTAACAGCATCCATTGGTTCCACTGTGGGCATCCTCTAAAATCTGTTGCATGAAAGGAAATGCTATTGTACAAATGGAAATTTGAAATTTCCTTTATTTTGGTTCTGGCGGTTAGGAAAAGTGGACCATGTTTATTGACTAAAAATGGAGTTCTTTGGGGTAATTATATGTGTCAGTGATGTTCATTCTTCTGGATAAGTTCTTTATTTTCTTAATCATGCTGTTCTGCTTCTCATAATTTTTATACAATAGATAGAGCTAGGTGAAAAGAATTAAGAAGAAAAATTGTGTGAATATAGTCTTAACATAGTTGAAAGCACTGTTACAAAAGGTCTGTTTCTCATGACCTGTTGATGTCAACACTTGTCTAAATAGGTGGATACCTTGTCTACATTTTAAAAGCATAGCTAGAATAGAAATCAGCTGAAATAACTTTTCAGATGAAAATGGCCATGAAAAAGGAAAGGTTAAAAAAATTACATTTTCTCTTTTTGTTGTTGTTGTTGTTGTTGCTCTAGAGCAGTGGTGGCGAACCTATGGCACAGGTGCCAGAGGCGGCACTCAGAGCTCTCTCTGTGGGCACATGCGCCGTCGCCCCAGTCCTAGGCCTTCAGCTGGGTTTTATAAAACCTTTTCGCTTTAGGCCTCTGCCGCCGTGTACAAAAAAAAAAAAAGGTTCAATCAAACAGTCAATTTCAACTTCTTGTGGGGAAAAAAAAGATCTTGCAAAGCTGGAATTGATTGATTGAACTTTTTAGTCCCACCCAGTCTGCCGTTACCATCGCAGCCACGCCCAGCCAATTGGCCACACTCAGCCAATGGCCACGCCCATCCGGCACCCGACGATGCATAAGTGAGTTTTGGGTTGCAGTTTGGGCACTCGGTCTCTAAAAGGTTCGCCATCACTGCTCTAGAGTTTATTATACTTTCCCAAGTTCTTGTATAGTTATTCTTTGCTTAATGACCACAATTGGGATGAGCAACTCAGTCACTAAGCAGTGAGATTCTTAAGTGAGTCATTTGTAGTTGTTAAGTGAAGACATCACATGACTGAATTTTGTCTTTACTTCCGGCTTCTCTATTGACTGTGCTTGTTGGAAGCTGGCTGTGATGTGCACAAATGGCAATCATGTGATCATTGGATCCTGTGACAATTGTTAATGCCTGCCAGTTTTAAACTGCCCAGATAGCAACCCCATGATTGTACGTATGAGAACAGGTCATAAAGTTAGTTTTTCAATACCATCCTAACTTCAAACAGTCACTAAACGGGGTAGATATTAATTGAGGACTACCTGCACAATATAACATTCCTCTTTTTAATTCTAGCAGGAAAGGGACTTATTCCACAGCAGTATTTGTTCTGCTGTCAAGAAAGAAAAGAACATGAATTTTTCTAGCTGAATTAGGCACTGTAGATATAGGTATAATATACTTCATTGGCTTGAGGGTTGGACACAACTAAATGACGACGACAACAACAATACTTTATATTGAGACCCAGTTTGATCTCGTGGTTAAGGTTTCAGGCTAGAAAGCAGAAACTATGACTTCTAATCCTACATTAGTCACAAAGCCAGAGGGGTAACCTTGGGCCAGTCACTTTTTCTCAGCCCTAGGAAGCAGGCAATGGCAAAACACTTCTGAAAAACCTTGCCAAGAAAACTACAGAGACTTCTTCAATCAGTTTCCAGGAATCGGACATGATTGAATGGAAGGAAGAAAAAAACTTATTTCATACAATGTATAAACATTTTAACTCCACTAAAACAGTTTTAAGATATTCTTGGTTTTATCTTTCTATTTATAACTATGTAAAAGAGCAACTGGAAAAGTAGCTCTGAAAAGTGTTTAAAACTGACCCAGCCATCTTTGTAACAGCAGTAGTTTCCAGTGTTAGTACTGATTCCGAAGTTCCTACTCATCATTCAATATTGCACCTAGAGGATAGTGAAGAAAAACATCACACAAACACATCTAGAGAGCAATTGCTGCCTGGAATTCTTCATCCAACTGCAAGTAAGCATGACAATAAACTTTCACATACAGGTATTAGCAATATTTTTTAATTTTTGTTTTCTATTATTTTTCTGGTTGAGTTGGGTTATTGCTTTAAAAACGTAGAATGTGAGGCCATTAACTATTGTTCCACATGGATTGTAAATTATTATCAATAAAACTTTCTCATATATGATCAATACATAATGTGAGAATAAATCCTACCTGTATAGGGATAGATTGTATTTGTACATTAGAAGACAATATATTCTATTTACTTCAGATAAATTCATAAATTAAATTTAGAAAAATTGACAGAATTGATTTTCTCTGGAAAATTTCTCCCAAAAAATTTAGTAGATATTACCTGGTTCATATTTCTGAACTAGGTAAGAGATTACTTAATCTATTGTAAATAATAAGTAATATGCTATCAAGAGAATTGATTTTGAAATCAATTGTTGCAGCAACTGTAGTCTCCAAGGAAAAAGGAAAAGACAACGAAACCACACAAAATCCATTATTTTATGACATCCATCCAGGACTGGACAATAAAAATGATCTTCCTGAAAACAAAACTAGGGATGATTTTCAGTCTGAAATTATTCAGATTGAAAGAAAGCCTGAATTGGAAACAACTCAGACAGGTATTTCTCAGAAAATACAATTTTAATCAGCTTATTCTGCCATGTTTGTGGTCTTTCTCAAAAAAGAAAAAAAATCCATAAATATATTATATGGTATTTCAACATATAATCTGTATAAAAATACAGCCAAAAAGTATGTGAGAAATGATGCTGAATAGCTCTTAAACTGATCATCAATTCCTCAAGGTTTACGAGAGGACATATAATTTCCATATCAGTTTATGGAAGAATGCTAATTCACTTCATTTGTTTAGGTGATGAAAATAGGCACTTGAAAATGAATGCTGTGAATACTTCATTAGCCATGTTCCATCATCATAATCCCAAATTAGGGAAATATTAATACTTTTAAATTAAAATATATGTGTCAACCAGTATAAGACAGAAGTAATGTATTGTATATATGTTTTAGAATTTTATTTAATGAAAGTCACTCCTATGTTGTTTCAAATCAATTCAATAATATTGTAATAGCTGTGATTTCCACGAAAGCTGGTGATTATGAGGATTCTACCCAAGATTCATTGATTAAAGAAGATCCTGATTTGAATGAGAAACTTCATCATCCTACAAATTCATCAATAAACAATTTGATACCTGGAATTAGTAATCTCCCAGATAATGTGCAAGAAAATAAAACATCACATACAGGTACTAGGAAGAAAAAGAATTAATTTTCTCTATATTGCCATTCTAGATCAATTAAATAATAGCCTAAATTAATTCTGCTAAAATCCTTCAGGACATGGAAGACACTTATGCAGTGGGTGGAATAGTTTTAAGTGGCATCACATTTACACAAAACTCTATTGTTGAAACTGTTGTAGTCTTTAATAATTGTTACATGAAGCATTTATACATGTAAAATTGGCATGAGGTTTGAAAATAGTCTACATACTTGTAATGATATATGGCAGAGGTGTCAAACTCGCAACATCACGTGACGTGTTGCGACATATCGCAACTTTTTTCCCATTGCCGGCAATGGGGGTGCGGTTTCACCATAACGCATCCGGCCCATGGGCTGGCAGTTTGACACCCCGATATATGGTGTTGCATACAAAGTTCAAATCTTTAGTATGAAAGTTAGTAGGCTACCATTTTGTAGTTTTAGTTTTTCCTGCTTTAGTTAAGGATTAAATTCATATGGCTACATTTTCATAGTGGTTATCTACTCGAATATTAATACAGTGATTAAAAAATAGTGCTGCCTACTATAAACAATGTAGGACGTGATTGTGCAGCTGGGATATTTAAAAATTACCTAACCATCATTATAACAATTGTGAGAATCAATGAAAATACCAGTCATGAAGATACTACTCATAATCAAGTAATACATAATGTGTATGATGAATGGAATAAAGAAGATAAAAATCTCACAAACACCACAAAAGTCACAGGAGCAGTACGTGTTATTCCATCAACTGGACAGTAGTGCAGCAAAAACCTTTTATATGGGTAATAATGGTTAATATTCTTCCAACTACAGTGGTCCTTGGCAGTGGTGGGATTCAAATATGCGAACAACCGGTTCTCTGTGTGGATGCCACTTCTGAAAGTCCATTCTGGGCCTGGGCAACAAAAAATTAGTTACCGGTTCCGCTGAAGTGGTGCGAACCGGCTGAATCCCACCACTGGTCCTTGGGGATATATTACATCGAGTGAATCATTGGATTCTTATTTTTAGTCAGTAAATATAATTGACCAGATGGCAAACATGCTCAAAAGCTCTTCTTTTAAAAAAAAAAAAGTACAGAAAATATGAATGAAGTAGAAATTTTGGGCAGTGATTATTTGGGTGGGAATTCATTTGGACAATGCACAGATTAAAATTTTAAATATCCAAATCTAAGTTCATCATTGGTTCATCAAACAGTTGCCATACTCAAGGATTTTGAAGATTCAGCTCAATCACCATTGCCTCCTATTTACCAGCCAGACTGGTTCAGTGAAGAAAAACCTACTAATACTTCCAGTAATGGCACGGAAATCAGTAAACAGCATGAAAATGAACATCATTCTTATGAAGGTATTGCTGTGAATAATATTGTCCTTTCATAGTGATGCATGGATGAAGTATGGTTTCATAGTACCTACAGTATATATATATATATATATTTCATTATTACAACTCCTGAAAAGGTTTTCATATTAGACTAGTATTCATATCATAATTCAAATAATATATACCAACTTGCTGAATATTTCTACACTGATTTGTTTTGTTCTTAAGCTGATTTTATATGGTATAATTTCATTGTGATTCTATATAAATCCTCATTCTGTATAAGCCTTGAATCAAAAAATACTTTCTGAATCTTAGTCTTATGATATACTTTTTGATATTTTTATTATTTTATTCAGTATATGGTGATCTGTGTTTTTTCTAATTTTCCAAAGGCATCCAGTGATTATTTCTGTGATAACAAATTGGTTGGAAACTTGCAGTGGGTGTGCAAAATGATGGTTAGATTTAGGATATAATATTACCAAAGCAAGAATAGAAATAGTGATGGGGAAAAGGGGGGGGGGGGACCTTTAAAAATCCCAATTTTAAGTGACAATTGTTGTCCTTCCCTGTGAATTATTTTGTTGTCTGTTAAAAGTGCGTAACAATAAATATGGAAAATCTGCGTACCGAATTTACTACCCATAACCACTAATAATCTTTGGTGGACACAGGAAAGAAAAGAGAGAGGACCCAATAGGAGTTCATTAGAATGGGACTTGCTGTTAGAATTACAGTGTGCTTTTTTGTATGCCTGAATTATAACCAGTATTCTATTGTTCTGCACGAAATAAAATATTGGGCCTATGCTGCCAAGGGAATGAAAATGCAGCTAATAGTTTTGTTTCATTCTCCATTGCTTTATCATTGCCATAGATGTGGGCTTTTATGGGACCAAAGAAGATTCAACCCCAGAACCAGTGAGGCAATGGGTTAGTGAAGACATGTATACTACAAAAGCCACAATGGATGTCTTATTTTCCGGAATTGTTCCTCGAAGAGGAATAAATCAAAAAAATAAAACTGATCATACAGGTATCCACTAGAATGGTGGTGGGATCTTTTTTACCCCTCTATTAGGTGAGATAATCTTCTGTTTTTAATTTCCGTGTCTATTTTAGGCAGGTAAAAAAAAAAAGCGTCTAAGAACACTTTATGAGGTATGTCACTTTCCATTGGATAGAATGAGTTGTCTGGAAAGCAGAGTTTTTGTTTAACCCAGGTTCACTCATAGTCTCAACGGTTCTATTTATTTCTGTAAGTTATGCAGCCAGCAATCTTTGTTTTAGGTATTTCTAGTGCTCAAATACATAAATAAAAGCTGATTCTTATATCCTCTTTTCATTTGTAAATTTCAGCCTACTGTATCATTAGCGTTATACAGGTTATTTGGTGAAAATAATTAATCGGCTGAGGGGTCCTTGGTGCTCTCTGGTGCTTTGCTAGCACTGATGATGCTACCTGCCCTGGGTAATGAAATGTCTGCAACAAAACAACCAAGCTCAGAGAGCAACAAGGACCCCTCATTTCAACCCTGAGCTACAAATATTCTCCTTTATTGGTAATTAATTTGTAGCATGATGATGATGATGATGATAAGAAAAATAACTATGAAATCAACATCTGAAACTAGTGAACCAATGGCCTTTTAAAAGTGTAATTAGGGTTTGAAATTACTAACTCAAGATCTTCAATAATATAGATGTTTATATAATGTAGTATTTCATTGAAATTTGTTTTCTATGTGGAAGAATAGTAGCTGCATAAGTATGTTCATACCAGAATGCATGTGATTGTTATGAATGCAATAGGCATGGTCGTTCTGGTGGCTCTTGGCCAATAAGATCATAAGAATCACATGTTGGTGAAGCATTCAAAGTTCAGTGCCCATTCTGGATTAAAATAACTTTACATTTGGCATCATGAGGAAATGAGCTACATTTTCCTGATGTATACATTTTGAAAAGCATGTATCGTATGTACTTAAAACTCGTTTTTAAAATGATTTAGGTAATTTTTATGCAATATTGTGTAGAACTGCATTTAATATTGGAATCTATAAATTTCATTTTCTAAGCCATTTATTTTGCTCTCAAGTCACACTATTTAGGTCTGTTCACAGTTATGACTTTATTTTGCTTTCCATTCTGCCTAGTGATATCTTTAAATGTTTTTTTTTAAGTTAGCATGACTAGCAGATTTCATGTACCAGAGGATATTTGTTGATAATGTAATAAGATGGCATTTTTTGGAGTCCTGTTTATAATTGGGTTGTTTCCTGCTATCATTACAGTTCTTTTTTTAAAATGGCATTTAGATTAGAGTATGCATAACTTTGCTAATAAGAGGAGATGTATTTATTGTGCATACTACTTTGTTGTTCCAATTACATGTCAAGGTTTCCTCAAACAACTAGTAGAGCCGATACATAGAATATCTATCTGTGGAGATAAAATGTTGAATGAAACTCAGATATTCCTTGAGGTATGGCCACAATTGAGCCCAAGATTTATGTTGCTAAGTGAAATATTTGTTAACTTGAGTTTTGCCCCATTTGACAATCTTTTTTTCCACAATTGTTAAGTGAATCATTGCAAATGCTAAGTTAGTAACATTGTTATTAAGTGAATCTGGCTTCCCCATTGATTTTGCTTGTCAGAAGGTCATAAAAGCTGATCACATGACTCTGGGACACTGCAACCATCATAAATATGAACCAGTTGCCAAGCATCCAAATTTTGATCATGTGACCATGGGGATGCTGCAGTGGTTGTAAGTGTGAAAAGTGGTCATAAGTCACTTTTTTCAGTGCCGTTGTAACTTTGAACAGTCACTAAATGAACTTTTGTAAGTTGAGGACTATATTGTGTTTACCTTCTTAAAAAGAAATAAAATGAAAATACAATGGACTGCAGTAGCTTTTAGCATCAATTACTATAGTCTGGTGTTATTACATTTATTACAAGTAAAACTATATGAACTTTCTTCATATATGTTTATGTCTGTACACGCATAAAAGTGACTTTGCTTGCTAGTGTAAGGTAGGAGATGGACCTTATGCTGAGCATTATTGGAAGCATTTCTTTCTTTTTTCCCCTTGTCCCTCATCTGCTTCTTGGTCCATCATCCTGCACGCATTGTAACAGGCCACAACCTTTGCCAGTAAAAAAAGAGAGAATGTCTGTTATATTTCATCTCTTCTTTTCCACTTTTTAAACTTGAAGAAGTAGGAATTTGGTGGGAAAAGTTTTGATCCTATATATATCCTGCTCATAATTGATTTAACTATTGTTACCCCAGTTGTGGCCTCCAGTGATGGAGACAAAAATGAAACATCAGATCTTGGTCCAGAGTGGCATCCTACATGGACCAGGGATGATGAAAATCTTGTAAATAACAGTCAAGATCCTATAAACAGACATCCACCTTCCACTGACAGTAAGACCTATGATATATATTCCTATAAATTTAACATTTATTTTTGCATTTTGTAAGCGTTCTTATCTCATAATTTATGAATCTGGGCGACCTATCAATAAAAATAAAAAGAGAAATTATGAGGAAAGCAGTGCGGCATTCTTGATTTTCAATGGAAATCTTACTACAAACAAAACCTTCTCTCTGGTGTATTGCTTCATATAAAAATATATGGTTGGAATGTTGTCCACCAGGAGGTGTGTGATTCTCTATGAAATTTCTTTAACTTTGCGGCTAGAGTGATAATTTTTCTATCTTTCCTCACTGGAATATTCTTTTCTGATTTCTGAAGAATAAGTAATTACTGTAGTATCACTTTGAACATAATTGCATGCACAAAATTAATTTCTAATGTTTTACAATTGACTATTGTTTGTAAATACGATTATATATAACTGATTTTGGCTGAAACTAGGGAATTTTCATAGATTCTCACTTAAAATAATAAAATACTGTAATTTGCAGGTTTTTACAGTCTTACATGAGAACACCAAAATCTCATAAAATTTTGCTATTGCTCCATGAGCTCTGAGAAGATGTAATAAAATTGCATGATATTTCACACATTTTTGATTTTTGGGAGTGGGACACTCAGGGTCAGAAAGATTGTCAATTTTCAGTCTAAAAGCTGTACAAGAGAATAATTTGAAAAAGCAGGCAGATTGTTTAAATATATTTGCTACCTTAATTAGAACTTTAAATGCATCTTCTGTCATTGTTTACCAGTCTTTAGATTATGCCATGTTAATAAACCAGTTGACATCAAATAGGTCAGCCTTGATATCAGCAAGTGAGGTTCCAAATTGATAGCAGCAGCTACATCTGATACTCCTCTGAGTATCACCTGAAATTTGTTCAGCTCCTGCTTAAGAGGAAATGGGGCTTTCCAGATATTCCAATTTTACACTTTAAAAACCTTATGAGCTTTGTATAAATACTTCAGATAGCTCCTGCAGTATTTGCTCTGCTGTTTATTCTAGAACACGGGTATCAAACTCGATTGCATCACGTGACATATTGTGATGTATCGTAATGGTTTTTTTGCCTTTGCGGAGCCGGGGTGGGCATGGCCTGTGTGTGACGCATCTGGCCCACGGGCTGCCAGTTTGACACCCCTGTTCTAGAACAGGGGTCCCCAACCCTTGGTCTGTGGACCAGCACCAGTCCGTAGCATGCCAGCAAGCGGGCCGCCCAAACAAGCAAAGCTCCATCCTCGGGATGCAGGCAGTATTCAAAACCACATCCCCTCTGGTCCTCAGAAAAGAAATTCTCCATGGCACCAGTCCCTGGTACCCAAAAGATTGGGGACCTCTGTTCTAGAACATGTAGCAGTAGATTCTCCTGTAGACTGACTTTTTCTATCAGAAATTTTGATTAGAGTAAAAGCACTATGCCTCCTAATAAAATTCCACAGCAGATCAACACTTAAAAAGGCCTCCTTTTCCATCATCTTCTGATGTGCCTGCTCAGATCTCAGTGCAAGGAAGTGTTAGATCCTTTCAGTGCAAAAAAGGCATTTTTAAGATATCCATGGTAACCCTTAAGACCGAGAGACATAAAAGGAGCTTGATCAGGTTGGAATCCTGAATGTTTATAATAGTATGACCATTAAAAGCTGCTACCCTGTATATCTGATTTTGATCTTTCCATTAGCACAGAATACTTAAACTATTTTTGTTATATAATAATAATTTAAATTTGATGGGTTTCTAGCAACATCTTAGAATGTGAGCTATCAATGTAGAAATAAACAGAATTTATACTAATTATAGGCCTGTTTTTGAGAATATAGCTATTGTGAATTGAATGTGAATTTATAATCATGAATCCTAGAGTAGACACTATACAGTTTTCTTAATATGATATAGACTATATTTTGCTGGATAAATTCTTTCCAAATTCACGAATCACTTTGAGTATTTCATTTCTAATCTTTCTAATCAGCCCTGTGTCGTCTTTGTTGATTCCTTTTGATTTGCTCATAATCTGGTAGCCATTAGGAATTGTCTGAATTAGGTATATTGCAACATATGCTCACTGTCACACTTATGCTGTATTGTACCCTTGTGTTCAAATGCCAATACTTTATTTTTTATCCTTTGTATTCATTTAAATCACCAATTTTTATTGTTCCTAATACAAACCAGCAGGACCTATTGGAAAGGTGGGGGCAAGCATAGTTGTATAATATTAGAAATATCAATTTTTGAAAGGAATGTCTTTTACTTATTTGCACCTGGCATTTAACTATACTCTCCAATTCAAATCAGTCTGGATATTTCTGCCTACAAAAGACATGCTGAAGTAAACTGAAACATTATTATGCTTTGTGATATTTCCCTGGCATAGTACAACTCTCCCACATCTTCTGAAAGAAAAGAAAGCTTTTTGTGGGCTTTGTGTGAAATAATGATTCCTGTTTGGGTAAAGAAAAAGCCAAAAAAACCAATCTATCTCCCTAAGTAGTGATAGCTCATCAGTACTTATGGGAATTAAAGGTTTGTCATGAATGAAACACATCGGTCCATAGACGCCAATTAATTAATAACACGTTATTTTGTCCTCTGCAAATACAAAAGCAGACATTCCAGATATTGATAATGCAGAGATTAAAGCATGCCTTTTCTCTAGGTCCTGATCCAAACAAACACCCCAGTGTAGCGGGAGACAGAAATATGACACCTTTACCTGAAGGATCAGGAAAAAGTCAACCACGAACGAGTCGTATACCAGGTTTGTTTCTGTGATTTTATCATTGGTATTTATCATGAAGTCATACTGTGATGTTCCTGCATTTTTCTTGTTGTCATCTTTCGTGTTTAAAACATGCAAATGCCACTGTTAGGTATATACATTCTAATGATGTCATGTTATTGCACACATTTCATTTCTCCCCACCTCCACAGGTATACGCCCATGTCTTGGGATACATTGGAATTAAAGGTTCTCTGACACTTGGCTTAAATCATGAAAAATACTGCCAACAGAAAAAATAGCTCAATTATGCATATATTCAATAGTGTACAAACAAAGGGAAAATTCTGTTGAACTTCATTATAGAATGCCACAATTTCACTGGCATATAGGCACATAGTGTAATTTGGTAGAGTGTGGCATGGAATGGGTGAAATTATGACAACTGTAATCCAGATATAACTCCATGGCAAAGAAGTGAGATCTTATGGTTCAACTACATAATTGCTTTATTTCTTATACATTTTTTATCTGTGATATATGCAGTACCCAATAAGTGTTGTCCTATCTATCATAGAAAATGAATAACTGTTTAACTGTTTAACATAGCAATATTGATGCTAATCTGAATATTGAAAACTGCTTTTATTGAAGAATCGTTAACTTTATAATTTCAGATCTCTAATTTGTAAACCATATAATTTGATTACCAGCTTTGAAGCCAGATTAAAACAAGTTATGTAGTTCATTCTTAGATTATTATCCTTATAGTTTTTTTCCCACCCCATGCCATTTGACTATACAACTTTCTGGAAAATCTTACTGTGGCTAAAATAGTACAGAAACTATGAGATGTTTTTTTTAATCAGAGTTACATTTTGTTCCACACTCACAATTGTGGAAGTAACAGCAGCTGTCATTGTACCCTACCTCACATAGGACAATATAATAATGGATATAAATTATCAGCACAAATATCACTGTTTATATATAATTGTTGTTAAGAGTAGCTGGAACGTAACTTTCACTTATGTGAAAACAGATCATAAAGAATAGTTTTCTGTCAACTAAAAATAACAGTTCATGGACATTATTCTGAAGGAAGTAAAATTGGATATTAACGAGAATATGTCAGTTCTCTGGTCAGATAACAAAGTAGTGTTTTTTCTACCCACAGATTGGCTTATTGTAGTTGCTTCTCTTTTGGCCCTGGCATTGATTCTTGGTGTTTGCATTGCTGTAAACAGTCGAAGGAGGTAAGAAATTCTTTTGTAGTTTTCCATTTCTCAGTGCCAAAACTGTCTGTTGCTGAGATATTTTTAGGACTGGCAATTTTAGAGCATTCAAAAGAGACAGCAGTTCCTGCGTCACAAAGAACTTAATCAACAAGCACACTTGGAAGCTATAGACAACTGTTTTTAAACATATAATGCATCAAAAAGCTTACTATTTTATCTCCTAGTCCAGTGTTCATTGTAAGATATGTCCCTTTCCATGTCAATTCAAAAGTGGATTTTCAGCCTCAACATTTGTCATATAACTTTTCTCCTCTTCAATCAGAGCAAAGAGCCACCTTGAAGTTAGTTGCTGGGATTTACTCTGGATTATTTTGCCGAATAGTATTTGAAAATGACCACTTAGTTATAGTATACATAAAAAACAAGGTTATATTGAAGTAATTAGATAGCTGGATGGTATTTCTCACATGAAATGTTTGCCTGGAGATTAATTACTAGCTTTGTAGTTAAGAACCAGCATATTTCCTGCTTGTTCAGCTTTTCTGTAACATAATTCCTTAATTTAAGTGTTGCTCCTCACTAATCTATATTAAATCTTGATGCTATTGTTTTTGTAATAAGGAACATTTTGCTAATTTTTAAAGAAATATTTTTTAAAGCTGATCAATGATAATCAAGTGCAGATAGCATCCTCTGTGGTTTAATTCTGCAGAAAAATATTCAGGAAATTTTCAGTTAAGAATTCTAAAGGATTTTAGTAGTAATTTTAATTTGTAACATTTCTCATAGAGGATATATATGTCTTTATTTGGAACCTGCAAAAAACATTCATTGCAAATTCAATTTGTATTTTTCTATGAGTAGCATCTGGTTTTCAGTGGTAATGTCAATGTTACTGACTCCAAAGTTAGTGAAGAAATACTCCATTTGATGAACTGATCAGAAGATGTTACTGAGCTTTCCAAAATTTTCTACAAAATTGGATTGGTGGGAGGAGAATTTAAGAGTTTTCTTTTAAAGAAATGGGGATGGATGTATTCTAAAATGAAACATTTTTTCCAGAATACATCGGACACAACCCTATCATAGAATGCCAAAGTTAATTCTCTTTTAATATATGAAGCACATATCAATTTTTCTTTAATGTCTATTATCCCAGTCTAAGAAGTGTTGTTGTTTTTTACCAAACATCTCAGTTTAATGAAGGGGCAAGATTTTACAGTTTCATTGGAAAACTACATATAGGCCTGCTTCAAATTCTAGGGCTAAATACTAAGTTCCAGGCTGCCCCCAAATGCCCTCATTTCAGCTATCTTCTGTTTCTGCAATATTTAAAACCAGATATGCAAATGAAAGGGAAAGGAGATTCATAGGTCAGTATTCCCATCTCTGAATGTTACATGAACCAACCCACAGTATAAAAATTTTTTCAACTGATACATTTGAATCTCAGTTTTGATGTCATTTTGAAATTTGCTTTCTTGTTTTTCTGAAGAACCATTATAATAGTAAGAACTGCTGTTAATCAATGTACACTGCTGCTACTGGGTAAGAACATTTTAATGAGGAGGGCTGACAAGAAATATTAGCCCATTCCTTCCAGGATCATGTGGATAAATGAAAAGATGAAAAGGCATTTTGCTTTTTGAGCACTGATATATGAATTGTGACATTCTTTGAAATATATGACATAGTGCATTTGAGTTATGAATTTATAATGTAAATGTAGGCATTGACTCCTAGCTGTGGGTCCTTCCTTCCTTCCTTCCTTCCTTCCTTCCTTCCTTCCTTCCTTCCTTCCTTCCTTCCTTCCTTCCTTCCTTCCTTCCTTCCTTCCTCCCTCCCTCCCTCCCTCCCTCCCTCCCTCCCTCGATCAATTACTTCAATCCATGTGTAACTTGAGAACCATAGACATAGCCTTATCCTTCTGAAGAATCCAAAGATATCCTCCATTCAAAATAAGGAATTTGTTAGAAGGCTATTTTGATAGGTTATGCTTTGTTCCTGTTATGTCAACATACCAGAAATAAAGATTAATCTGCAGTAATTGAAGTTCTTACCTAAGAAATAAGCAAGGAATGAATGTTTTTAATGTAATCTGCTACTTCAGACAAAATGAAGGCAGTATATAACATGCTGTCTTTAAATATTTTTACTTTACAATTTTTCCCTTTTCTGTTAGATGTGGGCAGAAGAAGAAGCTTGTGATCAACAACGGTAAAGGAGGCATAGATGAGAAAAAGAAAGATGGGTTAAATGGAGAAGCCAGCAAATCTCAGGAAATGGTGCACTTGGTACACAAAGAGAAGCCAGAAGACCAAAAGGGCCCACATGACGAATTCCAAGCAATTGATGAAACACAGAACCAACAAGATGTGCCCTTGAAGAGTGGCATGTAGGAAAGCTGTGCCAATCAAATTGAATCAGAGTTGGGGAAAACAAAAAGCATCATACTGAACTGGGACTAAAACTCAGAAATGCAATGAGCTACTGATCTCTTTAAAACATAATTAAGCATACATTTTCTTGTTTTTTTTTCTTTGGTAATGGTCAGCTTCAAAAATAACATGTCATTTTTGGTTTTGCCCAACATTGCATCATTTTGCCCAGTTTAAATTAGTGACCATCATCTTATTACTTGTATTTGTTCCCCAGTTGCAATCAGTTTGGTAAGGCAAAACACCAAAATTTATTTTGCCTGACATACAGAATTTTTGAACTTTCCAGAATCTGTAGCCATTAAGGTATTATAAAATGCATTCCCAGGGAATTCACAATGATAGGCTATCTTGAGATTTGACTCATAGATGTTGGAATTGAATTTTTATTGGTCAGTTAAGAGATTGTCAGGTTTATTAAATCTCGTTAATGTTTTAATATTTTGGAATTACATGTTGTAATAGTTGAATATGAAAAGCATGTTTTTACACATTCCACAGATCTCCACCATATTAAAAACACACTCACCAAAAAGGGTGGAAAGACCCAAAAAAAAAACCAAACCCCAAATCCAAATCTGATTTATAGCAAATAAATTTTTATTCTCTATAATCTAAATAATGTGGTGATGTTATCTTTAAATTTCAGTGTTCACCTTCCTTGTTAGCCTGCTGTACTTCTGGTGTATCTTATTCCATTTATTAGGGATCCCATTAATTATCTTATGGGCTGTGAACTGACCCTAGAATATTTGGACGGGACCAAACCAAGATACATTTCTTTTTTCTTGTCCCACTATCCCTCAATGCTTGCGTTCCCTTGAAATATCCATTTCCTATTTGAGTCTGAATTAATAGGTCGCAGTCTAATGAGAATTAGAGAGTAAAAAGATTCTTCTTAAGAATAAAGCAGGGCACCTCTTTTCCTACACAGTTCCAGTTCTATTAGAGTATGTTTATGTGAGATCTTTTCTGTGCAGTCATGACTTACAATGGAAGAACACATGAAACATATTTGAAATAAGTAATTCAGAAGTTCTGTTCTCTTGAAAACATGCCACTAGCTGAAATCCAGCCAGGATCTCTATACACAGAATAAGTGCCTTTAGTAGAATGTACTGTATGTACCTCCCAATTTTCCAAAAATATGATATTGAAGGTTGGAGAAAATGTTGTAGAATATTGTGTTGTGTGTGCATTACTGAGTGTTTTCAGTCATGTTATGCTTTTTAGTAATAAGATATAGAAAGTGTAGACTAACTACCTTATTTTGGAATCCACTGTGATAATTTAGCTAATCAGATATAAGAAACAATTGTTTGAACTTTTATTGGATTGTTTTTCAGTCTGAAAGAATGCCTGGAGTATAACCATTACCCCGTATGTGCTTACGTTAAGGAAACAATTATTGTCAGCTACCACACTTTCCATTTGAATTACAATATAATAATTGATGCCATATACTTCTTTGCTCAAAGATGTTGGAATAAAACTTTGAACAGTACTTTCACCCGGTTTATATGGCAAACTTAATTTTCCTTTTAATCAGAAACGCTACTTCTGATTCCTAGCAACATGTTCTTCTGTGGGTTTTTGATATTTGAATCAGCTTTTCTTGTAGAAGTGCATGGGGAAATAAATTTCATTGTTGTTTTTTTATACTTCATTTTATATTTCAGAAAGGGATTTGAAAAACTTGACCATAACCTTGATAAACTGGACCAATGTGGAATGGATCATCCCACTACAAAATGGACTTGCAGCTGGCTCAACAACTAACATATGGCCCTTAATAGGTCTACATCCACATGGAAGGAAGCATGCAAAGGGTAGCTCAGGGTTCTGCCTAGAACCCAGTTCTCTAATTGACTTTGATGAGGGACTAAAAGGATTGCTCATAAAATTTGCAGATGACACAATGGTGGAAAACTTTCTAACACCCCAGATGACAGGCTCAAGCTTCAGAAGGATTTTGATAGGCTTGAACGTTGGTCCTATCCAATAAAACATTCAGTAATGAAAAATGTAAGGTTCTGCATTTGGCAGGAAAAAAACACCAGATGCATTGTACAATTTAGGTACAGGTAGTCGTTGACTTAACGACAGTTCATTTAGTGACCGTTTGAAGTTACACCCTTAGTGAAAAAAAGTCACTTCTGATCATTTTTCACACCTACAACCATTGTAGCATCCCCATGGCCATGTGATCAAAATTTGGATGCTTGGCAACTGGTTCATATTTATTATGGTTGCAGTGTCCTGGAATCATATGGTCACCATTTTGGGGAATTCCGACAAGTAAAGGCAATGGGGAAGCTAATAACCATGTTACTAACTTAACTACTACAATGATTCACTTAACAAATGTGGCAAGAAAGGTTTAAAATGGGGCAAAATTCACTTAACAACTGTTTCACTTAGCAACAGAAATTTTGGGGCTCATGGGTAGGAAGTCGAGGACTACCTGCACTTGATTTAGAAGTAGTTGCAGGAAGGGTATGGGTATCTTGGTAGACCACAGATGAGCAGCTGCCCAAACTAATTTTGGGGTACACCAACAGATGCATAATGTCAGGATCACTGGAAGTGATATTACTTCCTTATGCTGCAGTGGTTGAGACTATACCTGAACGAAGGTTTAGTTTGCCACAACACAAAAAAGATATTGAAGAACTGGAAAAATTAGAAAGAAGAGCAAGAAGGATGGGCAGGGGCTCAGAGGCTTAGTTCTATTATAGACATGTAACTGACAGGTACATAAACTAACCTAAGTGTTCCTGTCCCTTTTTTGTTTGAAATTCATTGAGACTTAATTACCTAATGTACTATTTTAGTTTTACAAAATGACGACTGATTAATATAAGCAATTGCTAAGATGAACCATTTTCTACAAGTGTAACTATTTTCCCACTTTTAGATGCTATGGCCAATGTTGGTCTAAAAGACAACAGGGCGGGTACATTTTTACTTTCATGGGCAGCTTTTCTGCATCAAATACACACACAAACACACACACACACACAAACCCTAACATTTTGGTAGCATAAATGTCTTGAATTATTTTATCAGAAAGAGAAACTTCACTGTTTATAAAAGTACATGGATGAACAGAAATCTGGAGAACTGCAAATCTAACACATATGTGAAAGTAGCTCTGTTGGTTTGATATGTCAGTCACTGGCAAATTAGCATACATATATCGAATAAACATTTGTTACTGGACTATAACTCTTCATACATCCTTCCATCACATATTCTCTCTAGAGCTTGCAAGTAAATAGATATACTCACATTGATTCTATCTATGAAAATTATGAATTCACATTTATTGATGATATGTACATAAAAAATTCAACATTTAGTGAAATATTGTCTTTGCTGATTATTTCCAGTATATAAAGAATGTCCAGTTTTGTTTTATATACAAGTTACAGAAATCAGTTCACACAGGAAAAGAAAATAATTACTATAGATAAAGGAGATAAGAACTATGAAAAATGTGTAGTAAACAAGTAATTGCTACTGTAATAAAGTAATCAACATTAATAGATAGATTTAGCATTTCCATGTATTAGATTGTACACAAAATGGCATAGATATTATACAATACATCATTTCATTTTTCAGATGAATATTTTTAATTACAGTCAAAGCCAGGTTTGTGCTTTCTTTTGTATGTAGGGTGACCAACTAACAATGCAGTCTAAGAGATCATGTGCACAAGATCCATGATCTCAAGAGATCATAACCACAATAATTCCCCTAGCTGAATATATCTGCAGAATTTGGAATTGAGTGAATCTCCCCTTTCTATGCATTATTATATGGTATCCATGCATTCAAGGCCTACAGAAGCAAAATAATATAACTATGTTTGGGCAATAACTAGATTCAGTTTACAACTATAAAACTGTTCCTTGTTCTGTTAAGAAAGAGGAATAGTTACAACCTAGTTCTTCAGCCTTGCTTTCCAATCTTAGTGACTTCTAAGATATGTGGCTTTCAACTCCCACAATCTCCCACCCAGGAATTCTAGGAATTGAAGTCCACACATCTCAAGCTTCTGAGGTTGGGAACATTGCTCTAGAGAATTTAAGACAGGTAGTAACTAATTTGATTCAGGGTTATCATGAATTATATTTAAATTTACATATTATAATATATAAAGCATGAAATGAATCTTGCATGCAACTGCAATGCAGTAGAACTAGCTTTGTGCTGGGATTTATAACTAATATTGAGATCTATTACGTATGTTGGGTCCAGCTTGGGTCACACAAAATGTTCATAAATGACATTTGGGGACCTTTTGCTCCTTTTCCTGAATTTCCTGGCTTTACCTGATTTCAACTTTATATAATGACTCCTTTTTTTCAAATAACAATCTCTAAGAAAGCATATTTTATACCATATTTTTATCTCGATCATTTATCTTCACATGATCTATTAACACTGGAATATGAACAAGTAAAAGAATATGCTTCAAAAAGAAGTCTGTCTTTTCTCATTTTGCCTTGAATTTGGATTTGTTACTATGGTCAGTGAAGAAGTGAAAAATGAACACTTGAGGAATCTTGAAGGGTTAGATCACCACAATGTCCTGATTGAGAAGCAAAAGCTGAGATTGCAGTTTCAAAAGGTAAACATAGCATTCAAAATAAAAGATGATTTTTTTTACAAGGGATCAAAATGTTGATAGTTGCAATGATTTATTAACATCTATCTTTATATCTCCAATCTATCATGTATACAGAAAAATACATAATCAACTCAATATAATACTGTGCTTATATTTATTCATTAAAGTAGCAGTGCTATTGCAATCACAGCACAACATCAGACAGTCACTCACATTCACTAAGTGCCAGGGATTTGCACGCATACCCTCACATGCATGCTGCTCGTTTAGATATATAAAGACAAGTACTATAACAGTGGTGGCGAACCTATGGCACGGGTGCCAGAGGCGGCACTCAGAGCCCTCTCTATGGGCACGTGCACTGTTGCCCCAGTCCTAGGCCTTCAGCTGGGTTTTATAAGACCTTTTCGCTTTAGGCCTCCGCTGCCGTGTACAAAAAAAAAAGGTTCAATCAGTCAATTTCAACTTTTCATGGGAAAAAAAAAGATCTTGCAAAGTTGGAATTGATTGATTGAACTTTTTAGTCCCACCCAGTCTGCCGTTACCACCGCAGCCACACCCACTCAATGGGCCACACCCACCCAATGGGCCACACTCAGCCGGCACCCAACGATGCATAAGTGGGTTTTGGGTTGCAGTTTGGGCACTCGGTCTCTAAAAGGTTCGCCATCACTGTACTATAACATATTTACAAATGACCTGGCTGGAACATGAGGGTTATAGCAGTTATTTAAATACAATTATACTGCTTACACCACCATGTAGCAGTGCTTAGCAGATTATGGAAATTTTGCTGTTAAACATGGAAATGGAAATACCAATATAGCAGCCAAAGCAAGCCAACTTAATCCAATCTATTTTCAAACATATTACTATAAATTTCTATTCCAGCAGAGTTGAAGTTAAATTAAATTAAATTAAAATACCAACTATTAATACCGTATACACAATTTCACTGAAATTACACCAAGATAAGCTACATTATCTACAGAAAGGGTGGGGAGGCACTGTTCTTCATGCGGAAAACAACGCATCCAACCTATATAAGAGCATCATGCTTTACCTTACGACGGGATTGTATTTAGTTCTAATTACGAGAATATTTGAAAACTCTGCTTTACAATAGAGGAGTATTACAAAATAAAACCACAATAATAAACTGCCTATACCTACTGTACAGTTTATTCATCCATTTGCAGGTCATATATGACAGGTTGCACAAGTTAAATATACCTGTTTCATAGAGTCAATTGTTACTGTAGGTATCACCCCTTCAATTTTGTGCAGTTGTATGCCATAAGGGGCAGAGTCTGAATCATATTCAAACTATAATTTGGGTTTTAAAAATTTATTTGCTCTCTCAATGTGCTTGGATAATAACAAGGCATTAGCAATATAGGTATTTTGTAATTAACTGTTAATAAAGGAAGAAAAACAGATTTCAATCATTATGGTGAAAAAATATATTGCTTGCTTTTATTTTATAAATGTTTTAAAAATCAGGAGGTATTTATATATGTGCTATTCAGTTGACATAATCCCCTAAGAATGTAGTTTGGTCCTTTTGTAGAAAGGCAAAGATGTGAGATCAAATGCTGCAGTTCCTTACACATTTTGAACTTACATAGCTTTCATTTTTGTCTTTGTATATCTCAACAAAATACATCTAAAAACTAGAACTGTTTGAACCAATAGAGTTCATTAGTAGCTTAACAAATAATTCTTGGTGTCAGTAATCTTTGTCATTCAATCGTTAGGCAAATACTATATCTTAATACTGTTTGAGAAGACAACATTTCTCTCTGTCAGCATGGGATGTGATGTATGTCACATTACTGAAGAAATGTAACCATTAAAGATCGA